GGAGCATGTTTCCAACCTTCCACCTTAAATGGGGTCCCCAATATGGATCACCATCCCCAAGTTGTCAGGCTCATCTGTTGTGCTCTTCCGAGTCTGACGTTCGAACATTGGTTCCAGGCGAGGAATGGAGAAAGCTGTGCCAAAATGTGGTTCAACATGGTCTGGTTTCAACTCATTTCAACCAGCTTGGAATGTGGAAATCTGTCCATCTCCGTTTTTTTTTTGGATGTGTGGATAGCTACCCCCCACCGCTATCCCCAGCTGGGATTCCAGAAGAACAGCACTGAACACCACTGACTTCCTTCGTCCCTCTGCCCGAAAGCTCGGAAAGCACCTGGAACGAACAGGTGGTCCAGGGGCCGGTTTCGTTACAGTGCTGTACAATGGTCTGGCGCAACACGAGCTGATGTCTAGATTGGAGATGACAAAGCCATTGTAATGTGGGTAAAACAATGCCATAAACCAACCATGACTGGGAATGGTAAACATACCACCTATAAAAATGGTGATGACTGGGGGTGGGTTTATTGCCGTTTTATCCACATTATATAATATATTACATACATACTGACAGAAACTTTCAATTGGAATAGAGGGGTTATAAAACTAACGCGACTTAAGTCAAATAAACAAACAAAACAACAAACATCGGGGAGGGTTAGCGCAGGATGGTTCCAACATACCCGTGACATGAGAGAGACCACATGAAACTACACCAATCCACGTATCATCTCACTCCCTCACGAATATAGCCCCCTCCATAAATGGACCCCAAAAAGAACAAATGCGAGACTAAGGCAGGGTTTCTGCCAGGATGTTCTTAGCAAGGAGAAGGGATTAGGATATGTATCTACCACATTTTTCTCAAGGCTGGTTGGTCTAAGCCAGCAGTGGCAATCATGCTTTCTAATCATGCTTTCTACTGATGACACTGGGAGGCTGGGCTTCCACCATGGTGAGATCAATCCTGAGGTCGGCACTTTCAACCCGTCAACATATGCGTCAGTTCGTATCATCATGTGCCGCTGATGTTGGTAAAGCAAGAGAAAACCATCCCTTAAATTTACCACTAAAGAGTGATGTAACCTAAACATGATTAAACATGTACGCTGCAACCTGGACGTTTGCCCGGAGTTGATGTCCCGCACTCAACGTATTGTTCAGAGGGGGGTGGCTAATTTTGATCCCTCATGAAGATAAAGTTGATGTTATTTCCCCAATCAACATATTGTTCTGAGAAGGTGGCGGATTTTGATCCCTCATGAAGATAAAGTTGATGTTCTTAGCCCGTTCAGCATATTGGTCATGGGGGGTGGCAGATTTTGTTCCCTCATGAAGATCATGTTGATGTAACTACCCGATTCAACATATTGGCCATAGAGGGTGGCGTGTTGTTTGCCCGTTCAGCAAATTGGTCATAGGGGGTGGCGGATTTTGATCCCTCATGATGATCAGGTGATATTGTTTCCTCATGACGATAACTGTATTCGAGGTATCTTTCACATGCCACTGTGGCCTGATTTTCTCCCTTGGCCTTGCTTGGATTCGCAACTTCCCAGCAACACAGAATTGTCTCTGTTTTGTCACAATGATGAGTCTGGGCGAACGCTAAGGTTGCGGACAACATGTATAAACCATCAAACTATGGGTGGTTCATTATTGCTTTACTATGGGCTGGAACATATTTGGCTTGTTTGAAACCACCAACGATTTCGCAAGTGGTGCAATGGAGGTTATGGGGCTTACTCGAGGGATCATCACCATGTTGTTTGATAAACTTCTTTGGAATACCCAACTGTCAATCAGCTGCTGTGATATGGTGCTCATTTTTGTTTTTCAACCACCAATCCGCAGATTCTTCTTTGGGCCTTGATTAAATTTGATTATTTTTTAAGCAGGTCCTTCCTGTGCGAAAGCCGGGCGCTGCCGCCAAACTCTGCAATAAAACGACGCCGCACTGTCAATTAAGATAATTATGTTATAATCAAACGGTTGTGGGTCAAAATGATGCAAATGATTGGACACAAATGATGCACATCCCGACAGGGAGAACAGGGACGGTCTCATGTTATGTTCAGGAACCAATTTCTGTAAATTTCAGAATCCAAACATTTTGACCCATCACCAAATAAAGCCATGCACTGTCATTCGGGGTACACCTACGAGGCCGCGAAACAACTCTGTGACCACAGTAGTTGGCTAAACAAGAAACACTTGGTATAAGAATGTATAGGATGTGTATATAAGGATTTAGATACAGAGTATCAGGCTTCCCAGCTGGTGTTGAAAACATACAAAAACATACAAAAACAATTTCTGAACAGAAACAAAGCCCATTTCTGAGTCACTTTCGCGGCAGTGTGTGTTTCTTGCATCCGGTATTTACATCATTTTTACAACCGGCGCCAGGAGCGGATCCGGCAACCAGGAATGATTCACCAAGCGTTGCCGACCGTAAACAAGTCGATATTTTTGCGGGGCATTCCGAACATTAAAGTAAAGTGTCTATATATATATATATACTGTATATATATATATATGATGTATAGATTTGTAAAAACACATATGAATAATTACACATTATACATACACAAATGTATATAGGTATCATACATTCCATCTTCGCCGGCTCCCATCCTTCCGCCATCCATGATCCTCTCCAGATCGCCGCTGAGTGAGCGACTCACCATTGACACACTGTGAGGTCCCACAGTTTCCGGCACACATCATCGTCGTCAACACCTGCGCTGCAATAAGCCACATGTTTAGACTTCTTGGGTATTAAACATTGGAGTTCAGAAAGAAAATTATGATACTATATATATATATATGTATGTATGTGTATGAACCACCAATGGCAAATTATGGTAGCATATGCTTCGCACCCCCCCAATCAATCAACCAGGGTTCATTAATCTGGGGGTGACATTACCCCATGAACAAGTCATTGGGGTCAACATGATTCAAGGGGAAGCAGCAAGCAGAGAGGTTGCAAACTCTCTAACCACTAGTGCACATGCAGAACATATCCATTGATGAACCATGAAGTCAACATGTTTTGCTGTTGATCAACCATGTATCAACCATGTATCAATCATGTATCAACCAGTAAAGAAGAACATCACCCATTGCGTCCGATCATGGGAGCATGCCCGTGTTTGATGGTGAGGTTTTCTGAATAAATGGAGGTTTCAATGGGCAAATTCCTTATACGTGGAGGATTTAATGGGAAACGTAATGAAAAACATCTATAATGGGGGACCTCCCATTGCCATGTTTGCTTACCGGAGGGTTGTTTTACATCAAATACATCCCCTACTATTTGAAGATATGTTTCCTGTTTGCAGTTTGTCTCAGAATTTGGCAAAACACATGTTTTATCATCATTTTGGGGTATACCGCGTGCTTAACTTAAAACAAATCCAGCATTGGTAGTTATAAAATGTTCCATCATTTTTTCATTAATCAGCATGATGGTTGGTTCTATCCCAATATGTGTGTTGGCTGAAGCCCCAGTTTGAGACTAACCCATATATATATATAATATATATCTCATGCATTCATGCATGTATGGAAACGTACGGGAATATATTGCAATGTATGGTGACGGATGTGTTCTGTATGGCAATGCATTGTAATGTATGGCAACGGAATGGCAGTTGTATGGTAATGTATGCTACTCTATGGCAATGTATGGTAATGTATGGCAACAAAACGGCAATGGAATGGTAATGGACTGCATGTAATGCTGTGTAATTGATGACAGTATAAATCAATTGATACCAGTAGTAACCCCAAAAAGATAGACAAATTGGCAGATATGTGTTTTTTCCCTATGTCTTTGGGAACCAAAAAGTCTGATGTCTCTACACCAGGGTTGCACTCGGGTCCACCATCGTCCCAGGTGCGATAGGCAAAGAGCGCCAAAAGCAACAGCCGCAAGCGCTGCATCTGAGCCCAGTCGATGGCGGTCACGACCTTACGAGGTCACGGCTTCCATTGGACAGAATAAACATATATCACGCAACATATATGGTATAATTATATATAGTATGGTTGATGCACTATATATTGAATACACAATTGTTTATATAATATGATATATATATATATATAAATATACATAAATATAATATGATATATATATAAATGTAATATGATAATCCTCTCAAGTTGCTTCCCCCCCCCTTGGGGACCATTTTAGAACCCAAATATGGGTTCTAAAATGGAATCTACAAGGGGGGTCTTAGAACCTAAAATTCTTGGCCGTTATTCCGTTTTTGGGTTCTAAAATGGGTTCTAAAATGGTATCTTCCACCCTTAAAAAAATCATTAAAAATCATCCAAAACTTTATATACTCGATTATGCACTCATGCGTCAAACTCTTCAACATCTTCACTTCTTGTAATGCACGTCTTCGCTCCTGTTCATCCATACCAGGCAAGGCCATGCTGCAAAGAGATGCAAAGAGCACTCCATGGCATTTTTTTCTCCAAGTATTTGCTCGGATTTGTTCGGTATCGCATTCTGTACACAACTTTCAGAGCAATTCTTTGCGGCCCTTGCTTCAGATTCAACAGTGAATCAGTGAATCTAACTTCATATAATCAAAAAATCAGTGAACAAAAGATACTCTATATATGGATCTACATGGATCTGTCTGGATTTGTGATGATTTGTGTGCTTCTTGTTGATCGATTTATCGTTTTTTTTGGGCCTCAAATTCAGCACTGTTGTTTGGTTTGCGGCCAGACGGGCACGTACCTTCTTGGTATTCCGCACTTCTATCTGGATTGCGGCCAAAAAATATGGCACTTGCAAGGCAGGCGCCCCTACCTGCCGAGCGACTCTTTGCGACCCTTGCTTCAGCAAACATGTAAATTCAGCACAGAAACGAACTTCATATAGTCGAAGTAGAAGAAAATTAACCGATAGATGGCAACTATACTATATGGATGTGTATGGATATTTTATGCGTGAATTTTGAAAGATTTTTTTTCTGGGCCTCAGATTCTATACACTAGTCGCTCTCTCCCAGACTTTCCTCAAAGCCCTGGAGTTCGGGAGCCTTAAAATTTGCGATTTCCCCGATGAGGGAGTTGAGCTTTGCATCAGACATGTCAACCTCCATTCCTTTTTTAACCTCAGTCAGCCATCCATGGACCTTGGCTCCGTAGTTAAGCTTGTTGCGAATGTCGCCAAAGTAGCAACTGAAGAACGAGGACGCTTTGGCACAGAGCTCTGACTTCGAAATTTCCTTCACCTGGCCTTGGTGACTGAATCTCACTTTCGTTCCATCCATCGAAGCCATCGGTTTGAGGGGAAACCAACGACTCTGATCTGTCAAGAGGCGTGACAGCTCCTGTGCAATCAGTTTTTGACCTTTTTTGTTTCGCCGAAAGTTTTCGATTGTCGGCTGGATGAGTTTGACTGTCGTCACTCTACGTTTCTTCGTTGCCTCCACTTCCTGTTGGTGCTCCTTGTTCAGACTGATCAAAGCTTTCAATGCGTCCTGCCAATGGGCAATCTGACCGTTGATGTCACTACTGCAGGACTTAATGTAGGGAAACACCAGTCATAGCATACAGGGAGGTCGGCCCTTTAAAAAAATGAAAAAGTATATATCTCGCGACTATTTATGCTTGAAATAGTGTTGAACGGTCTCCCTTGGCTAAAGGTAGTGTAGCACTAAAACTATGTGTTCTGAAATGGAATCCATGGGCCACAGATGTTGAATCACACTTTGGTACATGAAGGAAACCATTCTAGAACCCTTCCCTCCTCTCCACCAGAAAAAATGGGACATTCCAGATCAATGTGTTTCCAAACAAACTGTTGGTATTATAGACAAATGCTGAAATATCATAAAGAAAAAATAAATAGTTGTATTTCTCTGCAACGTTGCTAAGGCTTTATTTGATTTTATTTGACCTTCTGTGTATAGAACTACATCTATGTGTTCTGAAATGGAATCCATGAGCCACAGATGTTGAATCACACGTTGGTACATGAAGGAAACCATTCTAGAACCCTTCCCTCCTCTCCACCAGAAAAAATGGGACATTCCAGATCAATGTGTTTCCAAACAAACTGTTGGTATTATAGACAAATGCTGAAATATCAAAAAGAAAAACTAAATAGCTGTATTTCTGCAAGGTTGTTAAGGCCTTATTTGATTTTATTTGACCTTCTGTGTATAGAACTACATCTATGTGTTCTGAAATGGAATCCATGAGCCACAGATGTTGAATCACACGTTGGTACATGAAGGAAACCATTCTAGAACCCTTCCCTCCTCTCCACCAGAAAAAAATGGGACATTCCAGATCAATGTGTTTCCAAACAAACTGTTGGTATTATAGACAAATGCTGAAATATCATAAAGAAAAACTAAATAGCTGTATTTCTCTGCAACGTTGCTAAGGCTTTATTTGATTTTATTTGACCTTCTGTGTATAGAACTACATCTATGTGTTCTGAAATGGAATCCATGAGCCACAAATGAAACAAAGATATAATCATCTACCATCTTTCCAGAACAACCATTTTGAATCATTGTGGGCAATATTCCAAAGAAAGTTTCACTAGACCTGCACCTGATCTCACAACAGCTACCCCAAGCCCTATCAAATCTCATCCCCAAGCAGCCTTTGGACTGCTCTTCCCCAGAAGGCATCGATTCTTTGGATTCTTTCTTCCCTGGCAGAGGTGTGGGTTCTAAAATGGTTTACACCCAAGTTGGAGGTCACAAACCCCTCAAAACCCTGATGGAAACCATTTCAGAACATACCCTTGATTGGATCCAAAGTTGAAAATGGATGAAAATGAAACAAAGATAAAATCATTTACCATCTTTCCAGTGTATGATCTTGGGTTGTTTTTTGAATAGTTTTGTGGGGAAAGAATTGGACAAATATCGTTGAGGAATTACACTTTTGAACCCTCTTACCCCTTTCCAACCCCTAACACAAAACAGGGTTCTAAAATGGTTTACACCCAAGTTGGAGGTCACAAGCCCCTCAAAACCCTGATGGAAACCATTTCAGAACATCCAGGCTGAGGGACACCTTGGTTGGATTCAAAATTGAAAACGGCACCAAGGTGGAAACATTTGCCCAAACAAATACCTTTCTCATTTTTTGTTCAGGAATGGTGGAATGTAGCTCGTGAAAGTCACTGGTCAATCAAACCACACCAGAACCCAGACCCTAACTAGGCGCGCAAATGGCCTTCAAGCTCTGTCTTCTTCAGTGCCACAGCCTTCACACCTACCCAACTTCTGAACAGAATTAAACAGAAGGATCCAGCCCCATGTCCATGGATTGCCTCACGCCCCTTTTTTGTGACTCATGTTTTTGTGCTTCAAACCATCTCCAGTTTTTTTTCATGGTTTCCCTAAAATATCCTAAAATGTTTATGCCCTTCCCCGGTTTTGTAACAACTTGGCCTTGCTTGGCCAACTCCAACTGACGCTTGTTGCGCAGCGTTTTCGCCCAACCGCATCGATCGGACTTGGCCGGGATCACGCTCAAAGAATGCCAGCCCATAGGTGCCCCAGCCCTGAGCCGGCGCAGTTCTTGCCAACAGTTTACAGAGGTACAAACATTTATAACAAATTTGGCGTTTGTTTCGTGGCGGTTTCCAAAAACTCAAAAACTATATGAAACATACATACAACATAATGTTAAAAAATCTGAGCGCAGCAAAGTCTCGAAAATGACTCGTGTGGAGACTTCCGTTTCATCTCCCCTTGAGCGTTTGCAAACATCTTTGTGCACTTACTCCTCCAGAGCTCAAGATTCGCGTCCCACCAGGCGTCGCCATTGCAAGCCCCGCACGTCCCCTCAGAAGACCACAAGATACGGAAAGCAAGAAGCAAGTCTGTCAAAGATTTCATGTTTCGGTATTGTGCAGGTTTGGTGTTTTAGTGGCCAACTCCAAATCTTTGTGGTTCATTTTGATTTTTTGTGACTCAAATGCAAATCCTCAATGACTCCAATCCGTGGATTTTTTGGGTCTCAATTTTTGTGGTCAAATGATGTCAAAACCATTCATATGCCTCAACCCACCAAACGAATCGCAGAACAGGGAAACATTCGCCTAGCAGAGTCCAAGATTCGCAATCACCCGGAGGACCTGGAAAAGCATCCATCTTTGATTTGGATTGATTTGGGCCAAATGGCTTTCAACTGCCTGGATCCAACTCGCCACTTGCTTTCCACCACCGGCACAAAACCTGCACCATACATCTGATCAAAATATTTCTTGGGTCGTACCGTAGATTCGATAATTCAATATGACATTAAGTGAGGTCGTCTGAAAAACGAAATTAGTGTGACGTCGTTGCCCAGGTTGAGGTCGTTGAACACGCTTGCCTGGCAGCACGCATACGGATCTCTAAACTAGTGACATAAAATGGATTGGTCTTTTGCAGTTTCCCACCGTACCCTCCCAAGATAGGGAATAGGAACCAGAAAGCCATGCGAGGAAGCGCATTATAGTGTGCATGCGATTCTTTTCACTGCCCTTTCAGCAAGTCCAAGCACTTTCAACTCTTTTTCCAACATCCTTTTCGTCTCTTTCGTCTCTTTCCTCTCTCTCTCACCCGGTCGCGCCTCATCCAAGAGCTCGTTGTCAATAATGCGCTTCGCGTGCAAGCGGAATCGGGTAAAGGCAAAGGGTTAGATACTTTATGTGCATATCCCCTTAATTTCAAAATTATGCCTCGTTAATTCGGGGTGACGTCGTGACGTCGAATTAAATCGTACAGATACATCATCATATGGTATTATAATATATTGAAAAAAAAGTAAAAAATATATATAAATATATTATACTGTATTATACAAGCTTCCAGGGTTCTACAATGCTTACGGGACCGAGGGTTCTACAATGAAAAAATTTCATTCTAGAACCCTCCGTGTTTATACCCAGGGGGGGGGGCATTCTAGAACCTTCCAACTTGAGGGTATATATGATATATATATATATAATATGATATATATATATATAATATGATATATACCAGTAGTACCCGCACGAGGCGGGGCGGAAGTTGCCTTAAAGATATATATAAGATCTTTCTCATCTATAGAACTTGCATGCGCCGTGCGCCAGCCAAGCCCGTGCGTGCCTGCACTCTGCGAAACTGGTGTCTTGTTTCCCATGTCACATTTGAAGCTCCACGTCACACTTCACACTTGACAGTCTTCACACTCCACACTACACACTGCACTCTTCACACTGCACTCTGCGCACTGTGCACTCCACACTTCACACTTCACACTCCACACTGCACACTCCACACTTCACACTGCACGCTTCCCACTGCACACTCCACACTTCACACTTCACACTCCACACTTCACACTTCACAGTCCACACTTCACACTTCACACTCAATACTTCACAGTCCACGCTTCACACTTCACACTCCACACTTCACACTGCACTCTTCACGCCCCACACTTCACACTGCACCCTTCACACTCCACACTTCATCTCATCTGAGCTCTTCTCACCTTATCCCAGCTCATCTCTTCTCACCTACTACTACTAAGGAACTGGATCTCGACGCCAAAGCGACAAAAACACGATTTTGAAGCACTTTTTAAAAAGAATTTTAAAAGGAAAATTACTAGCACCAAAATTGCGAAAATCTGCTGACAAATCACTATCGCAGCCTGGATGCAGCCACTCCAATACGATTTTACGATCTTCAGCTGCAAAAGACAATAGTATTACGCATGCAGCCGCTGCGCCAAGCAACCTTGACGCAGCCATTACAATGCGATCTGCAGAGACTGAGTTGCAAAACACAATGGAACTACGCGCAACGGTGTCGGCAATTGCAGCTCCAAAACCGGATCTCGACGCCAAAGCAGAACACTTTACACAGAAAAACGCAAGGTTTGGTGCTCCTCCCCAAAACATAGCCCATGCAACATTCATGCAGCCATTACAATGCGTTTCGCAGCATCCCGTAGCAAACTTGCACCTATCTACGCACGTGGCAACATCAAATCACGACAATGAAGCAGCCATTCCAATGCAATCTGCAACCCGAGATTCAAGAACCGCATGGAACTACGCACACAGACACAACCACTCGTTGCAAAACACATAGGAGGAACGATTCGCGCACAAAACGACCGCAGCCGCACCCGTCGCACAGACGAGGTACCTTTCATCGTCGGCTGCAGCCACTTTACACAGAAAAACACAAGGTTTGGTGCTCCGGCTTCCTCCCCAAAACATAGCCCATGCAACATTCATGCAGCCATTACAATTCGTTTCGCAACATCTCGTGGCAAACCCGCACCTATCTACGCACGTAGCAACATCAAATGACGACAATGAAGCAGCCATTCCAATGCAATCTGCAACCAGAGATTCAAGAACCGCATGGAACTACGCACACAGACACCACTCGTTGCAAAACACATAGGAGGAACAATTCGCGCACAAAACGACCGCAGCCGCACCCGTCGCACAGACGAGGTGCCTTTCATCGTCGGCTGCAGCCACTTTACACGGAAAAACACAAGGTTTGGTGCTCCGGCTTCCTCCCCAAAACATAGCCCATGCAACACTCATGCAGCCATTACAATGAGTTTTGCAACATCCCGTGGCAAATCCGCACCTATCTACGCACGTGGCAACATCAAATGACGACAATGAAGCAGCCATTCCAATGCAATCTGCAACCAGAGATTCAAGAACCGCATAGAACTACGCACACAGACACAACGACTCGTTGCAAAACACATAGGAGGAACAATTCGCGCACAAAACGACCGCAGCCACACCCGTCGCACAGACGAGGTACCTTTCATCGTCGGCTGCAGCCACTTTACATGGAAAAACGCACGATTTCGTGCTCCGGCTTCCTCCCCAAAACATAGCCCATGCAGCATTCATGCGGCGATTACGATGCGTTTCGCAGCATCCCGCGGCAAACCCGAACCTATCTACGCACGTGGCAACATCAAATGACGACAATGAAGCAGCCATTCCAATGCAATCTGCAGAGATTCAAGAACCGCATAGTACTACGCACACAGACACAACCACTCGTTGCAAAACACATAGGAGGAACGATTCGCGCACAAAACGACCGCAGCCGCACCCGTCGCACAGACGAGGTACCTTTCATCGTCGGCTGCAGCCACTTTACACGGAAAAACACACGGTTTCGTGCTCCGGCTTCCTCCCCAAATCACCACTTCCCTTCGTCACCACTCCCCTTCATCATCACTTACGTCCCTTCGTCACCACTTCCCTTCTTCACTGCTTCCCTTCGTCACCACTTTCCCTTCTTCACCAGTTCCCTTCCTCACCAGTTCCCTTCTTCACCACTTCCCTTCCTCACCACTTCCCTTCGTCACCACTCCCCTTCATCATCACTTCCCTTCCTCACCACTTCCCTTCGTCACCACTTCCCTTCTCCACCACTTCCCTTCCTCACCACTTCCCTTCGTCACCACTCCCCTTCTTCACCACTTCCCTTCGTCACCACTCCCCTTCATCATCACTTCCCTGTTTCACCACTTCCCTGTTTCACCACTTCCCTGTTTCACCACTTCCCTTCGTCACCACTCCCCTTCGTCACCACTCCCCTTCTTCACCACTTCCCTTCTTCACCACTTCCCTTCGTCACCACTTCCCTTCGTCACCACTTCCCTTCTTCACCACTTCCCTTCCTCACCACTTCCCTTCGTCACCACTCCCCTTCATCATCACTTCCCTTCCTCACCACTTCCCTTCGTCACCACTTCCCTTCATCATCACTTCCCTTCTTCACCCACCCTGTGTCATAGTTTCTTTTTCTTTTGTTATGTATTATTATGTGATCTGCCACCCTTCATCAAGGTCAACTGCATAGTTTCTTATTCTTTTGTTATGTATTGTTACATTATGTAGTGTTATGTGATCTACCACCCTTCATCAAGGTCAACTGCATAGCTTCTTTTTCTTGTGTTATGTATTGTTGCATTATGTAGTGTTATGTTATATACCACCCTTCACCAAGGTCAACTGCATAGTTTCTTATTCTTTTGTTATGTATTGTTACATTATGTAGTGTGATGTGATCTACCACCCTTCATCAAGGTCAACTGCATAGCTTCTTTTTCTTGTGTTATGTATTGTTACATTATGTAGTGTTATGTGATCTACCGCCCTTCATCATTTCAAGTCTCAGAATTCTATTTGTCCGTAACTCGGAAGTATTGCTTCCCAACTTCCTTTGATAATATGCTAAATATAAAATACGATATATATATATAATATGATATATATATATATATATAAGAAATAATATTATATAATATGATACATACGCAATATGATGTACATATATGTGTATATATATATGATATGATTTGATATGATATGATATGATATGATATATATATAAATATAAAACTGAAATAATAATAAATATAAATGATATAATATAATATTATATATATATATGTGATAAAATTTCATTTATATATATATGATAAACTAAATAATATATATATATATATGATGGAAAATAATATATATATATACATGATATATATATATATACATGATATATATATATATACATTTATCACATATATATATGTATATATCATATATGCATCAAATATAAGTATAATATATATAATATATATATATACATACATATATATATATATTATACATAAATACATTGTCGCAAAGAAATGATCAGCTGAAAGGAAAACACATTTCACCTGAGAGTAGACCATGTGACCTGGCACTGAAAAAATGCGAGCGAATGGATGTTTTACACCATTTGTTTGGTGGCCTAACCCTAATTAGTGTACAAATTGTGCAAAATAGTGTCTTGCCCTATGGATGTTTTACACCATGTGTTTCAATTCAACACCAAATTTGGGTTCATCCACATTAATCCCCAATTTCTGTTGCTTCATGAATTACTTTCAGTGATCCCCACCCTGAAACGCTATTCTGACATAGTTTCTGACATACCATCTGGAAGTATATATGGCATGTCTATTCTCGCATTCTATTTGATTCTATTTGACATTCTTTCTGTCATATACTTTGACATTCTATCTGGCATCTATTCTGGCATACTTTCTGGCATCTTTTCAGGCATTCATTCTGGCATTCTTT